AGCTACAACTTAGGCAAAATGACTGAGGCTAAGTTTTCCAACCATTCTTATTATGACCACTGGTTTCTAAAAGCAATCACATGCTTACCCTAAGAGTCAATTTTTTATTCCCAAAATTATGCCACTTAGGCCATTATCCTGGTTACAATTATTTATTAGGTTACCTAATGAAATATAGTATGATGTCACGAACTAAAACATTAGAAAAAAAAATTATACATAAAAGATTCTGAACTGATGGTCTATCATTTAAATTCTAACTTCATTTTATAGAAGATACACATTTAGAAAGACAGAATATGCAAGAAAAGGTCTCAACCTCATTTGAAAAACAAGTGAACATACATATATGTTTTCATTTCAAATAAATGTTTAAAGCCAATAATGATCACATTCTCAACTATTTTTCCAGTTAACCAGCTAGGAGGCTTCTACTGCACCACTTCTGAGACGCTACTAGGTTCTGTAATGATAAACTGGCTGTGCTTAGAATATTACTCACTGTAGCTAGTACACCCTAAAATGGCTCATTTCCCACTTCTCTAATTCAAATGCATAAGCTGGGGTGAAAAAAATTTCTAGGACAGATTTAAGAGTTGGGTTAGTATTTCTGAAATGTGCATTTCTTCCTTATACTTTGAGACTTCTCCAGTGGATTTTTCAAAACTTATTTTCCTCTTGACTCGACGTAACTATTTTTACTTCTCTCTAAACCCTCCAGATCCTTTATACCTCTCATAAGGAAGGAGGTCCCATACCCCTTAAGTATTGCTTGCTAGAAAAGAACAGATAACCTGTTTCTCTTGACCAAGTTATTAGCTATTTTTCCTCTTCACACTAAACAAGGGAACACCTACCTTTCCCATCTTCCTTTATTTGCATAATTTCCATTTAATACACCTCAGACTTCCAAACTACCTCACTGAATGCCATCACTTAATATCAGAATATTAATGGGGATTGAAGAGATAGCTCAGTAGTAATTAAGTCCACTTGCAGAGGGCCCAGGTTCAGTTCCCAGCAACCACATGGCAGTTAACAACTAGCTGTAACTCTAGTTCCCGGGGATCTGGAGCCCTCTTCTGGCCTCCACAGGCACTGCACTCATGGGCACACAGGCAAAAATTAACTATTTTAAAAATATAGATTAAAAAGGTTACTGAAAAATTACCAAAAAGACACTATCCAATTTATTACTTCCTGGAAGGCACTGTAGGTATCTAATGTTACTAATTCTCTGTATACTAAAAGTAACAAAAGCTACATCTGATAAGAAGTCCTTCTAATAATATGTCATCCAGTAATTTTTAGCTTAAAAATTAAGACTATATGGCAGTTTCTAAAGTGCAAGGTACATACATACTGATGTAGACTCAAATTAGAATTCCAAAGCTGCCTGCTTTCCTGTCTTCTATTCTGCTAAATGGCTAAAGGATAGCTCTGTGAAATGGAGATTTAAAAAAAAAAAAAAAAAAAAAGGAAATACCCAATAGCTCCACCTTAAAACTGCTCAGGGCAAATATGTACAGCAGAATAAATGCAACTCAAGTTAACTGGAGCATGATTACATTATTACTCAATTATTGTCACCAACTGCTACAAATGTTACACGTTTTAGTACTTCCTCTCCCAGGCCTCCTGCAAGAAAGGAAGTCACTGCCTTATACCAGAGTTTTGTAAATTTTTAAACACCTGAAATTCTGATGGCTAGTATGGATCCTACAGCAGATACACATAACCACCTATACACAAGTACATACAGACTTTGGATCATTTAAATCCCATCTACTAAGGATTCTAAGAGAGCTCTGTACTTTAACAGGCTGACTCATCACTGCTTTCTAAATAGAGCCCTGAAAGCAGCCAAGGAGCTTTACCTGTTTCTCATCTCCACAATGATATGGGGTACATAATATCCCCATTTAACTGACTCAAATTTTTGTAGGACTGATTTCTACACTGTAAAATTGCATTTTAAATAAAAAATCTTGAGCTCTTTCCACACCACAGTATACTTCAAGACTAAATTAGGTTTTCTAGGATTATCCATTCATCTTGCCTTTAATTTTTTATGACTTACAAGACAAAAACTATCCAAATTTTGGCTTTTGAGTTTATGAAGAATTATCAGATAGCACTAGTATTGGGTCCCTCCTATTCAGCAAGAGTTTGGTCTAAGTAAGACTCTTACAAGAAAGTATGGGGCTGGAGAGATGGCTCAGTGGTTAAGAGCACTGACTGCTCTTACAGAGGACCCAGGTTCGATTCCCAGCACCTACACGGTGGCTACGAATCATCCTTAACTCCAGTTCCAGGGGAATCTGAAACCCTCTTCTGACCTCCGCAGCATTGCATGACACAGGTGCACTCACCCAGCACCTACACGGTGGCTACGAATCATCCTTAACTCCAGTTCCAGGGGAATCTGAAGCCCTCTTCTGACCTCTGTGGTAGTGCACAACACAGGTGCACTCACATACATGCAGGCAATACACTCGTACACATAAAATAAAAATATTTAAAAAACAAAAAACATAAAACAAGAAAGTCAGAACATCAGTTCACAAACAGTGATTTCAAATTAGGAACACAAGAAAGAGAAAGTGTTAGGTCCTTTTTCACAATGAAAAATCCATGTTGTGAAGACTTCACTAGTGACTGTTTCTACAAAAATGTTCAATAAATCCTATCTGGTGAGACCGTCCCTTCTTTTTCAGTCTGTTTTTAAATGGCACACAAGAAACACTTGATAAATGTGAACAGCCAGAATGGATTGCTAAAGAGCTCATCAGAAAAAACAAAAATTTCAACAATTACCTTTCTTGTGAATGCATATGTATGTGGGTGGGTGCTGAGTCTAGTATGATATAGGTGATTAATAACAATGAAGCTGGACTCACCACCAATGCTACCGGCCATTAACATTAATTCTACAAGATTACTGTCTGCTTATTTTTCTCAAATAAAAAAAGCACACTCTTACTAATCATAAACAATGATGTATTAGAAAGGGAGAGAGGAATTCCATGGAAAAATGCCTCTAATCAGCATTACCTCTTTGAAAAACATGGTAAGAATTCTAAATATCAAGGTATTTAAATACTCAATTTTCTCATGCTGAAAAAAAGCTTTGGAAAATTAACAGTTGCTGACCTGATTCTATATAATCCTTTCCAAAAAAGTATTTTTAACAAATACTCAAGCATCTACTTATGTCATAAACCACAGAAAGAACAATGAGCTGTACTGTTGAAAAGGACCAAGACTAGAAGGCAGGCTTGTTTAAAACTCTCTAAGCCTTTACACAGTAAAGGGGAAAGCCTTGTTCAGGCTCTCTGCAAAGGCTATAGTGCTATTCTCCAGAGGCAAACACAGGCAGTGGCAAGTTCCTTTCATAACCTGGCAAGAGGCTGTTACAAATCACTCTCATATACTGCCTCTTTGCAATATTTCTTTTCCTTGATAAGGAAATCAAGGAGGCAGAGTTAAAACTGCTAATCCTTTCCTAAGAAAACCCTCATAAGAATATAATAATTTGTATAGTCTTTGCCTGTGGAAAGCATGCAAATACCTACCTGGAGTTGCAAATAAGGTCATGAGAAGGTCAATGTTATTACATCCTTTTTACAGCTAGATTTTTGTCTTAAGAGAAATTACAGTTTGCAAAATATACTTTGGAAGCAAAATAAAAATGAGTACTCAAGTACACTGAAAAGCATTGTTTCAACCCTAGAAAAAGAACACTCATAAAAATTAAGTCAACAAGGAAAAAAAAATGTACCCAAGGCAGAGGCCATATGAGACTGTGACTGTGAGTTCACTTTGATTAGGATAAAAAAAAATGATTTGGGGGGTTGGAGAGATGGCTCAGAAGTCAAGAGCACTGGCTGTTCTTACAGAAGACCTGGGTTTGAATCCCAGCACCCACATGGTGGCTCCCAACTGTCTATACCTCTAGTTCCAGGAGATCCAATGCCCTTTTCTGTCCTCCAAGGGCACTGCATGACATGGGTACACTTACATACACGCAGTCAAAACATTCATACGCACAAACTGCCTTAAAAAAACAAAACAACCCCCCCACAACTTTACAAAAATCCAAACCCACATTCAAATCAGAAATATTGTTATTTTTTTCCATGAACTAGGTTCACAGAGTGTGTCTACAAATGAATCTTCAGAATCCCAGATTCAGAGAAATAAAGATGCTGCCTGTTTCAGTGTGCCAGAACCCTGCCATACTGAGACCCAATGTGTAATGTGAAGTCATCCAATACAAGGGTAATCATTTAGTGAAACCATTTTATTATTCAAAACCTCCTGGTTAGTTGAAAACGGAAAGTACCTATGTAATCAGTTGAGTCTTCTAACTAGATTATCCTTAAAAGTTTCTAGGCCAGGAAACCATAAATTTAAGATGCTAGATTAACCCAAACTTAACGTTTAATTCTCTTAAGCTCTTAGTGAAGAACACTATTTCAACAGAGTAGGTACCAAATACTTAAAAGACTTCTGGTTTGAATTCATTCATAACCACCTTTCATTGTGGTAGTCAATGTTCAAAAGTTGACTGGTAGCCAGGCATGGCTCTGGGAGGCAGATGGATTGATGTTTGAGGCCAGCTAGGGATACATAGTGAGACCCTGTCTCAAAAAAAGCAAAACCACCAAAGAAGGTAACTTGTTAACATTTAAAAGGAACTATGTCTACATACCAGTCTACACAAAGCATGTAAAGTTCCTGCATTCACCTACATACATGTATGACAACCAGCTCTAGTACTATAGATACATACACTAACTGTAACTGAAATGGTATTATACATGTCAGGCTTTCAAACTAAACTGTCTACAAACATGGTATTTATTTCAGAGATTATCTACAATTGTTTCAACATCTTTTAAATGACACCCCATGACTTATTTAGAACAGCCGATTTTTTAAAAGGCATAGAAAAAACCCTTGTATGCCATAATGAAGCTGAAGCCAATCATTCTTACCAGTACATCGTTGCAGATATCTCTTAGCTCAGTCTCAATTTTTTCTCTGTATTCTCGAGCCATCTGCTGCTTTTTCTCAGCACCTTCTGTCTTTTGCTCAATACTTGAGACGACCCTCCAAGATGACCTACGGGCTCCTACAACATTTTTATAAGCAACGGAGAGAAGATTCCTCTCCTCATTAGATAACTCGGCTCCTTGCTCAGTTACAGATTTCATGCAGGCTGCCATGTCATCGTATCGCTCAGCCTGCTCGGCCAGTTTGGCCTTCTGCACCAGCTCATTTTTATCCATGACTGGATATTCTGCAGGGGGAAAAAAAAAGATATTTAGAAAATTCTTCCCACTAACATACACACTTGTTGTAAATAAGGTATGTTACTATGTAAACCTAGTTTTAACAAAAGACTCAAGGTACTGAAATGCAGCTCCCAACCCATGATCAGAACAGAAAATTGGCATACTCTGCATACTAGTATCAGTTTAGCAAAATTAAAATTGCATTATCTCATTTGTTTAGAATATTTTATTTTCACACAGGCTCAAAGCACATTTGGGCGTAAGAACTATCCTAAAAGCCACCTCTTGGCTACAGGCAGTACTCTTGCTACTACCTAGCCTGCTGCCTCTTGCAGTATACTCAATGAAAACAAAAAGCACCTTTATCTTACTTAGTCAAAATCTCAACTTGATCCCAGTGCCACTAAGTAATCCAAATTTAACCAGCTTTCCTCCTCCTAGCAGAGGTTTAAAAAAAACAAAAACCCAACATTCCAATGCCTATAAAGAACATTTTAAGTTGTGGTAGTTTGATACGATCTACATCTCACCACGAGTAAATTTTAGTTTTCCCTGCCCCAAAACGTGCATTCCTAACTTTTGCTAACTGATCATATGGCATGACAATCTTCTGGGGGAAGTGACTAAATTGCTTCTTAGGTATCTTGAATTAAGATCCCACTAGGGATCAGTACCTAACCCTGAAGACCACATGTACCTAATAAGGGGTTTATTCCTACTTCCTAAGGAAGCATTCATAACTCTTGGACTTCAACTAGTGTGAGCACTAAGGTATGCTACTCTGGAAGCATCCAAGTGTTTTGTTCCAGTCATTCATTTTAAATGGAGAACTGTCGCGTGATTTCTAGCAGTCACAATGTGTTACTGCTCAAGATGCCCTTTCTCCCTTCCCAATTTTCTTTCCCTTGTTTTAAAGTTCCCTAGGTTGCAATTTACCTCTGCTCATTTTTCTTGAATGATGTCGTTTTGGAAGGTGTTGGGAAAGACATTAAATCATACAAAATGATTATTTTAAAGAAAAGCTTTCACAATCTGAAATACACTACTCCTTTGGTAATCAAACGAGAAGTGCCCACAATCGTTTTAAAGAAGTAATGGGGCTAGCTTGAATGCAAGACATACTTTTTCAGATCATAAACGACTTAAAATTTGTGATCGAATATTTGACTCCGGATCTAGAAATTCATCTTCAGACACGGTCTCTGGTTAGCACTGCTTCGAATGAAAAATGATTTAGAACTCGCACCAACGTTTCCCTCCTTAACCTCTCCGGTACAAGGGGAAGTGGATTAGGTTTCTTCCAGAAAAACTCGCGCTCCAAGGCCTCGCCTCCACATTGCGAAGAGTCGCCGCACCCTTTTATCCATTAACAGCCGAAGCCTTCGCGGAGGGTGCAACGAAAGCGTGCAGCCCGCGACTTTAAAGTGCAAGTCCTTCCGTCCGCGCGATCCGCAACCACCTCCCCTCCTTGGCTCCGCCCAGGCTGCTGCCTCCGCAAAGTCCCCGACTCTCTTTGTCATGGCGGAACTGTGTCAAGGAGCCCAACCTACTCGGAGTAATGCCCCCCCCAGCCCGAGCCGAAGGAGGAGCAGCCCGCGTACCCGCCCTAGTCGAGTGTGTGAGGGGGGAGGGCGGCGATCGTCCGCCGCCCCGCGGACCCCGACGCCAGCCCGCACCTCCCGCAGAAGCGGAACGGCTGCCGTGCCTGCAGCGGACACACCCCGCTGCCCCTCCGCGGGTCGCCGGGATCCATTCAGAGGCCCCGGACAGCTGAGGCGGGGGGAGGGACCAGCCCCACCCAGCCCCACTGCGAGGCTCCCGGTCTCCCGCTGCGCTCCGGCAGGATGTGCGTCTCCAGCCTCGCAGGGGACGCTCGGGGTCCGGGTCACTGATCTCCCCCGGCTCAACCCCCCCCAGTTCCCCTCCCCCACCCCCGCGGGCCTTCCAGTCGTTCCCCGCACGGGCGGGCCCCA